TCGGTCTAGAGCATGGAGGACGCTATGACCATCTCGACCTCTCTCACCAGAGCATGATATTCTGTCCATCTTTGCCCTCGAAGGACTTAACACTCAACATGATCGGATTGGGTCGGGAGGAGTCACCTGTCAACGACGGTGGCGTCATGGATGCGGTCAACGCCGACATCATCTGCTTTAAGTGCTCTTGCAGAGTATGTTCATAGCTTGAAACTCATCTGGGCCACCGCTGATCGCTTCAGGTCCTTGCGAAGCGAGGTTTTGCACGCCCACATAGCCAAGCAGAGACATAACCTTTCTGCATGCCCAGGGGCAAATTCGAGAACTGCTTCATCCTCAGAGAGCGTCAGTCGTAACGACTCAGGTGTGGATTAACTACATGTGCTACCAAGTGCAGCAGGGCTGCCGTAGCTCTTTTGCTTAAAAGATTTAGGTGGGTGACCTTCGTTCTATACTTTGAATCAGTACGAGTGTAGGAAATCGCAATCCGCTTACTCCAAAAGTAACTTCAACCTTGGCCCAAATCAATTTCACTCTTTCATTTCAAAAAGTAAACTGCACTTCTCGGTGTTTATTTGCAGTAAAGCCGCCTATATCTAAACCAATAGGTTCTCCTATCTATATAGTAAAATCTAATTTAATGCATTACTAGTGACTGTTCCAGTCACGTACTGACTTTTTATTATGTGTAGCCACACCATTGTGTTATCAGATCATCTTTTGTAACCCACACCATCCTTTGTGACCCACACCATTCATACAGGGGACGTAGACAGTACGATAAACTACATATACTACCAAAGAGGAAGCTTGAACACTAGAAGCCCTCTTCAACAACGGCACAAAAGTTGATTTTTGCCTCATACCAGGAGCAATCTGATGGCATTAAACGTTGATGGGTGTCTGGTTAATGTTACATGAAGCGTACGTTTACGATAGATGGATGCGGCAAAGACTTATATTAATTACTATCTCTCATATTAGAGCTGTGACGTGGCAAGTACTGTGTTCTTATGTACTGACACCTTACACATCTGATACGTTTTGTACTAGATACAGAAATGTATAAAATTGTGAATATATACAAGTACCGAAATGTCTGTGTTTATAAAGATGATGGTACACTGCAAAGGAGGAGTCGGTGGTATACACCTGCACGTCAGAAAATAGTGGCAGTCGAATTATTATTATCAAAAACAAATATTTCGTATTTGTCTCGATAGTACTCCTAAATATATCTACTCTTGAAATAGCAAGCTAGTCAAAACCTATTAGAAGAGTTTTTCAACATTATAAACACATAACAAAAATAGTAATGAAAAATATTCGAATTGTTTAGACATTGCTATCAATCGATTCCAAGGTTGAAGGTTGTCCATCACCTGGATCTTTACGTTGTAGTCTCGAGGTGCAGCATCGCTTCTTCTATCAGCATTTTTCTATCTCTCATATCCAAAGCATTTCTAACCTGCCAGAAAATATCTTCGTGAACAGCATTTTTAAGCCAATCTAATTGCTCTTCTTCCTTGAGTATCGATCTAAAGACATTTGTCAATTTCTTTTTGATCAATGCATCTTCAAACGCCTTGACCTGATCTTCTTTCTCCAAAGCCGCTCGAAATAACTTCGCACTGACATCATCCTTGACAGCCACTTTGAGAAAAAAATAACAGTTAACATCCTTAAATGCTGCATCAAGCTCTTTCGAGAGTTTCTCATCATTGAGCTGATCATGAAACTTGGAAACTTCAGCCGGGTTGTCCAAGGCCAATCTGAATAATTTCAGATGCTCCTCATTCTTCAAAGCCTCTTTGAACAATTGCACTCTATCTTGATTTCTGAGAATGGCTTTGAGCAGCTCCACCGTATCCAATTCCGTACTGCTCAACATGTCTTCAACCAATATCAATCGTCCTTCTTCCTCTAGCGCTTTCTTAAACAACATGAAACGGTCCTTTTCTGCAAAAGTCTCTCTGAGCAAGTCCGACACGTGCTTATTGTGTAGAAACGGATGAAGACTCGCCATAGCATTATCTTCTTTCAGCTCCAGCTCCACATCACCTTTTGACAAACCCGTGGTAAATTCCACAGGTTCGTTTTCACCATTCAAAGTCGCTTTGAGCAATTGCAATTGTTTCTCGTCTTTGAGAACCATATGAAGCGATTGCACCAGATTCTTGTCATTCAGCAGCGCCTCAAACGTTCCCACCATATTCTCATCGCTCAATATCTCCTTAAATGCTGCGACCTGACGCTGTTCTACCAGAGCCTCCCTAACCAGTTTCACCATTTCATCTGATTGTAACGCAGCTTTGAATAAACGCACTTGATCTTAATCAAGTTTTGACCATTCGAATTTGTTAAATGCTGCGAATTGTCGGAAATTTTCCTTCGGAATTTTTTCCAGTTCCGCCTTCAAGTAATCGTATACATCAAACTCGGAATCTTTCATTAACTCTTTCAAGCTGGCAGAAAGATGAGGCAACATAAACTCAGAACTTTTTGCCTCATGCTCAATAAAGCTGAAACGAGTGTATGCAGCGTATTGAAGACATTGGTTGAGTAGAAACGCCTGAGGTGGATTATCATAATGCTCGAGCAACTTGGAAAGGATAGGAGTAATCATTGTTTTTAAGCGATATGCTAGCTTGCGGACTCTTGGACGGTACAATAAACCACGAATGAAACCATCCATATAATCGGTGGAGTAGGTAGATACTAGCTCGTGGGATGTTCGTGAGGTTCGATAAGTTCCCAACCAAGTAATCAAATTACCATCCTCACGTTTTACCGTAAGGAGTCGAGCGACGTCGTCTGCGAGTGAATTTTGATCCAGCAATCTGCTCTCTCCGCGAGATAGCTTGCTGGCGTAGGATAGCAATACAGAATCCAGCCCTGTTTCGAAAAATACTTGAAGGCTTTTTTGATTTGTTTGCTCCATCAAACTTTCGAATACTGTCGATAGTTTCGTTTGAAGTTTAAGCAACTGAGCTTGTGTCTGCTCGGTTTTCGCAGGGTTTGTAAGAGCGTTGGCGATCGCCAAACGAACAATTGATTTCAATTCTTCATGATTTTGTGCGAGAACGTCCGCTAAATTGCGAAATAGCTGCGCTTGTTGATCTGACTTAACTTCGTTTGACTTCAGCTGAAGTAACGTTGTATATAATATCGACGACCAGTATTTTTCAGTGCCTTCTTCATGTTTCGGTAGGCTGGACAAATGCGATGAAGCCATCCTATCAACAATGAAAGAAAACATCCTCATCTCCCCATCAGTTTCATCAATATCGGTGTTACTTTGCTCACTATCATCATAGCTCTCCAACTCTCCTTCAGCAGCGGTCAAGCTACTATTTGCAGAAGGCAGCGAATCATTCACGTGACCATCGAACACGACTGGGTCTTCATGCTGGACTATACTCGAATTAGACGCGGAGGATACACTGACATCAAGCAGTAATAAGGCAGGAAGAATTGGCACAAACATCATCAAGAAGTCAAGAAAATTGGGAAATGCTGCGCAGAGATTCAAGCGACGAAAGATTGGGTCACACAGACGTGACCTCATGATTTGTCCATCACATAATCTGGTCTACCCGGCTCTTCGGGATTTTCAACGTGGACACTGAAAATTCTTGGGTAATTTTTTTCAAATATCTTATGTTCTTTTAGCTAGAAACAATTTGCACATTTATGAACAGAGATCTGGTCTGCTATGATCGCGCTTCTCTCTTGAAGATCTAGTACATAATTGTGACCTCAGTGAATACTGATCTCGATAGATGGGTGGTTGACAACCTATCCTTCTGGTCCCCTCAGATATTTTATCAGCAAGGACAAGCTCATTTGTATCGTTTCTTTGAAACAACTGGACATCCTTGACAATAACAAGTTCAATGAAGATAATCAGTTGAGGTTTGAGAAAGTCAAAGTTTGATACGTCAAAGAACTGTACTGAGGCATAAGCTTGCTTCGTGTCATCAGTGTGACTTTCCTTACATCTATTGATATAAGGCTTCTAAACTTGATATTGAACACATTATCAGCTTTTCTATCGTCTCATACATCAAATTCAGCTGCAACATTGAATATTTATCGAAGTCATTTCGCAACGCGTTTACTTTATCTTGCATTCTTTATCATTGTAACTGTAAAGACTTTTATCTCCGA